GGCAGGAGCTGCAGCCAGAGAGGGGAGCTCACTCCTTCATGCGGCACACTTGGGTCTCGAACTGCTGAACTACCGACCTTCCACAGCCTGCAGTTCAGCGTCTTAACCACTTGAGCCACCGCAGCGGGGAGATAGCAAATACGCACACCTGAATCTGGAGACAAGCCTTGAAAACGCAGAAATGGGGAAATTGTGGAGTGACTCACCATTTTCGAGCAAAGTATCCTGGATAGTGCGTACGCACTGACCCAGCTTTGCCCCTGGCCGCATTAGAATGCAAGTCATTTCCTCCCAGGCTCTTCAGAACGGCCCTGGATTTGCAGCAAGAAAGGTATCCCAGGAATGCAAATAAAAGTACGAGCTCAAGAGCTCGGTGGCTCCTGCAAGTATGAAGCGTTGTTTCAGAGCAGTTCCATAAGGCCAGGTGGTGCATGTGCGCACACATACAAACATGCCTTTTACTGAATCAGACTCTTGGTCCATCACAGTCTGCACTGTCTACTCAGACTGGCAGCGGCTCTCCAGGGTCTGAGATGGAGGTCTTCCACATCATCTGCTGCCAGAATCTGTCACTGGAGATGCCGGGGATTGAACCTGGGACCTTCTGTCCTGCCATGGAGCCACAGCTCCTCCTCCTACCTCCCCTTTGGGAGGTGGTTGGCGGCAATGCTCCCTCTAAGTCGTGGAGTCTTGTGAGCAAACATTCTACTTTGTGAGCGACTGGCTTGAACGTTGTAAGTGAGCAATTCGGCTACCAGATAAAGTAGTTTGCTCTGGAGCCATCCTGCCTAAGCGAAGACAAAAATGTGTGAGCTGGAGGCTAAAAAACTTTGAGGTAGCTCACACTAACTCAGCTTAGAGGGAACACTGGTTGATGGCCCTCTCCTCTCTTGAGGAAGTCAGCAATCAGTTCTATAGCACAAAAGCTTTGGGGAAGGTAGCCACAAGGTATAGATAGGGGCTCTGGGGCAAGTGATGCTCTGTCTTCTTGGTGCTTGGGGGGGGTCAACAGTGGGAGGGCTTCTAATGTCCTGGCCCCACTGGTGGACCTCCTGGTGGCACTGGTATTTCTGGCCACTGTGTGACAGAGTGTTGGACTGGATGGGCCTTTGGCCTGATCCAACATTGGCGTCTCTTATGTTCCTATGTTCTAAAGAAGCCAAGTCAGGTCCTCTTGCTCCAGGGCAAGAGAAGCCGGCACTCCTGCATTTTGTTTCTGGCCTCCTTTTTTGCTTTTTAAAAATAACTACCATAGCTCTGCTGAAGGTGTTGCCTAGCAATGGAGGGAGGTTCCTTGTCAGAGTGGGCTGTGAGGAGGCCATTCTCTCCTGTGCGCATGGCTTCTCTTTTTGGAGGGATTGGTAGCACGCCACACTTCTACGTACCTGTTGACTGAAGCTTTGGCCATACCACATGGCCATTTTCGAGGATAGAGGGCATGAGGGCATGGGACCTTCCAGAACACTCTTTTGTGACTCTGGCCCTGGAGAGATTTTAGGGCAATAATTCCGAAGCTCTGTGCGCGCGCGTGTTTTATACATGCACAGTTAACTCTGATTCCAACTTGCATACTGCTTCCCTGGCCTGTCTTTCTTCCCGCTGACTCCTACCGTGGTCTAGTCCTTCTGCCCTATGGCCTCACCAGGCATGAGGGGACTGCTGAGGTAGTGATGCAACTGAATAGAGCACCCTTCGGAGAGGCTGCTGGTTCTGTCTCTGCATGACCCACTGTTCTGGGCGGGCTTCTTTACAATCAAGATGCAGGCCCCAGGTCAGGGACTTGCAGAAATAACTGGTTCCTCTGGGCATCGGCAGCTCTTGACCAGCTTCTTTTGATTAATGGTGTGTTCTCATCTACGCACTGCCGTAGGACGTCCAAAAATCTCCTTGTACGCTAAATCAATAATCCTTGCAAGCAGCCATGCAAGGAAAGACTGGGTTCCTCCCCGTGGTCGCTGGGTTGAGTGTGTGTGGTTTCCTCTGCCCCCTCCCTTCAGAGCTCAAGGCCAAAGTGAGATTTGAACTGGGTACATCCTGGGTCATAGGTTGGTTTTATAACTGCTGTACCAGCCCCTGGATTTGGTGAAACCTACAAGAATTTCAGCTAACATGGAGAGCCACCAGGAAGCAATGTGGCCCCCTCAGGGACCTGGCTAGGGCTGTACTTCTTTATGTGAGCTCTGTCCAGTCGGGGTAGGCATTTCCCAGGGATTTGTTTGTTTACTTCATTTGTTCTCCACTCTTCCCCCCCCCCCCAAAGGAGCTTACAACATTCAACATTTTTATCCTCACCACAACTCTGTGAGGTAAGTTAGGCTGAGAGTGGGTGACTGGCCTAAGGTCACCAATTTTCCATGGCAGAGTGGGGATTCGAACTGGGGTCACCCAGCTCTTAGTCTGACACTGTAACCACTGCACCAGGCTGCTGGAAAACCTGGGCCCTACTGTGCTGCCTGCGGCTAGACTGGAGAGGCCTCAGAGCCCTCACTCTGAAGGCCGCTTTCCAGTTGGGAACCTGCAGCATTCTGTACAGGGATGTGAAATTGAGCCAGCTGACCCCAGGTCCCAAGCTGCTAGACCCCAATGAGGACTTCACCTGCCTTTGTTTAGTTAGAAAATGTGTATGCTCCCTCTGTAGGGAACCTGCTCAAGGCAGCTCACAAAACAAAACACAATAAAAAACGTAGCACGATAAGAATTGCTGAACCAGCCAGGGCATAAAAGCAGCATAAACAATTCAGAACCTCATAAAACATTTCTCAGGCTAAAAGTGGACTTTCTAAAAGATTTACCCTTTGATTAAAAGTTGGGGTCAAAAGAAACGTTTTGGCCTGGCACCTCAAAGGGGATAGGGTATGTGCCTCAAGGAGGAAGGCCATTTTGCAGGGGAGGTGCCAGTGCTGAAAAAGCCCTGCCCCTGGTTTCCACCTGCCTCACTGCTGACCGCAGGGCTCAGAGGGTAAAGCAGGTAAGGAAGATCTTAGCAGGCAGGCTAAGCTGTAGCCCCTAACAGGCAAAAGATTCCTTTTAACCCCCAGAAGCTTTTAGAGAGGTACCCGTTGTTGATCTGGAAACGAAGCTGTATTTTTCTCTCTTGAAAGGCTCTTCAGATTAAAAACCACAGGCTTCTTTTGGCCATCTCTTCCAAATTACCCTGGATGTCAGGGAAACTTTGGGAACTTTGCCCTGGAGAGTAATCTCTATCCAGCTGTGTCCCACATTATGAAAAGGAAAGGCTTAGGTTTGAGCAAAAATTGTTGAGCAGCTACAGAGCAGAAGGGAAATAAAACGAGGGGGAAATGCAGTCTTTTCTTCCTAAGCCTGAAACTTCTCTCTGTCTGATAGCAAGTGAAGGCGAAGGGAGAAGAATCTTAAAACGACAGATTTCTGTCACATCCTTTTGTGCTGCTTCTCCGTGGACCTTTTCTTGAAGCCGTTTCCTTTTTATCTGGGTTGTTATCTTGGCCACTCTTTTTCCCAGCCCTTCCTGGCAATGCTAGTCAAAACTCTCTTCTTCCATTCTGAAGACAAGCTTCCTCATGCAGAGGTCTGTGTGTTCCCCTTGTATGCACCAGCAGGCCCCTCCCCCCTTCCACTTGTGAACAATTACTAGTTTCTTAAGCATTTTCTGTGAGTCCTTTGCTCACAGGTACTGAGGCCAGAGAAAGAATCTCTCTTGTCTGGTTGGCTACTGACCCTTAGCATGTAAACTGGCTTCTTCCTATCCTGGTGGGCTTCATGAAAAACATGTGTCTACAGCAGGGATCCCCAACGTGATACCTGTGGGCAGCATGGCATCCACCGACCCTTTTCCTGGTGCCCGCCAAGTCTTTTTAGAAAGTGGGTGGGTGGGGCCCCAGCGAGACTTCTTACTGGCCACTGGAGATTTAATTAACTGTGGAGGTTTTTAAAAGCATTGCTTGGGAAGCAGCTGCCACTGCAGCATAAGGATCTTTCCCACATGACTGAAGGTTAGTTGCATCAGCCATTTTTTGTGGCTGGCTCCACCTCATGTGGTAGCCATTTTTTGTGGCTGGCTCCACCTCATGTGGTAGCCATTTTTTGTGGCTGGCTCCACCTCATGTGGTAGCCATTTTTTGTGGCTGGCTCCACCTCATGTGGTAGCCATTTTTTGTGGCTGGCTCCACCTCATGTGGTAGCCATTTTTTGTGGCTGGCTCCACCTCATGTGGTAGCCATTTTTTGTGGCTGGCTCCACCTCATGTGGTAGCCATTTTTTGTGGCTGGCTCCACCTCATGTGGTAGCCATTTTTTGTGGCTGGCTCCACCTCATGTGGTAGCCATTTTTTGTGGCTGGCTCCACCTCATGTGGTAGCCATTTTTTGTGGCTGGCTCCACCTCGTGTGGTAGCCATTTTTGTGGCTGGCTCTACTTCGTGTGGTGGCCATTTTGTGGCGGTGCTCACCACACTGTGTCAGAATTCCAGAGGTGCCCGCAGGTTCAGAAAGGTTGGGGACCCCTGATCTGCAGTTTTCTCTTTATTGCTGAAAGTGGTTTGGGGTTAACCTTTGAGTGTTGGCAGAGTGCCAATTTTTATCTTTCAGATACCTGTGGGGTTGAGGGATTGTGTCCCTGCAGGGCCCGCCCACCCCCTTCTGCCAGGCCTTCCTATGGCTGCCAAGTGGGGGCAGGGGGCGGGTAAACCCCCACTTTGGAGGCCCGATTTCCGCCGCCGCTGAATCGGGCCCCGGGGGGAACTCCGCCCCCCAAAGCGCAGCGTGGCAGAGGGGATGCAATCACGTTGGGGCGTGGCCCTGATCATCGGAGGGAAAACTATGGTTTTCCCTCCGACGATCGGGGCCACGCCCCCAACGTGAACGACGTTGCGTGTCACTTCCGGGACGTGCTGGGGGCGCGCGCGCATCAGAGGAGAGCTCCCGGAGCCCAGCAGCAATCCCCTGCCGGTAAGAAGATTCGACTTGGCAACCCTAGGCCTTCCTCTAACATACCTCACGATCTCTTTTTGTTTGTCTATGCCAGAGTGAAGCGGCCAAGTGGACTCAACAGCCTGCTGGGGAAGCTGGGTCCCAAGAAGCAGAAGATGAGCACGCTGGAGAAATCCAAGCTGGACTGGGAACACTTCAAAGAACAGGAGGGCATCGGAGAGGAGTTGGCCATCCACAACCGAGGGAAAGAAGGGTGAGAGGGCGGACTGTTGTTTCCTAACGGGGGCTGTGGCTCTGTGGCAGAGCATCTGCTTTGCATACAGAAGGTCCCGGGTTCAGTTCCTTGTTTAAAAAAGTCCAGTCGCAGGCAGTGTTCCCTCTAAACTGAGTTAGTGTGAGCTAGCTCACAGATTTTTAGCCTCCAGCTCACAAGATTTTTGTCTTAACTCAGGGAGGATGGCTCCAGAGCAAGCTAATTTATGCAGTATCCAAATCACTCGCTCACAACTTTAATGCCAGCAGCTCACAAAGTAGAATATTTGCTCACAAGACTCCACAGCTTAGAGGGAGCATTGGTCACAGGTGATATGAAAGACTTCTATCTGGGGATCCTGGAGAACCACTGCCAGTCAGAGTAGGCAAGCCTGACCTTGAGAGACCAAGGGTCTGGCGCAGTAGGAGGCAGCTTCCTGTGCTCAACAGACCTTTGAAGCTCTAAGGCTAACTACTGTTGCCTACTAGAAGGTTGAAATCATTCAATACTGCATGACCCTCAAAGCTCCTTTTCAGTGCTTCAGATGGTACGTGCTGCCCTCTGGTTCCCTTAATCAGGCAGCATGATTCCTGTAGCTAATAGGACACACACGTTTTGACACAAAGTTTGAGTCCAGTGGCACCTCTAAGGACAACAAGCTTAATTCTGGGTATAAGCTTTCATGTGCATGCACACTTCTTCAGATACATCGAAAGCTTATACCCAGAATTAAACTTTGTTGGTCTCGGAGGTGCCACCGGACAAACTTTGTTCTGTCGCTTCAGACCAACACGGCTACCCACCTGAATCTACATTTTGACTACCTCAGGTTTGGGAAACCACAACACTGTCTCATTCCCCTGGTCTTGAAAGAAGGAAAGAACAATCGCCTGATTGTTTCTCGTTCTCGTTCTCATTATGGGTTTAATGTAGGGCAAGCCCCGCAGGAAATGCCCCTTAGGTTTTGATCGATACGCCAGTCACTTAGAGCAAGACTCAAGAGAGGCTGTTGGAGATAGAGGAGAGGTAGTCAGTGGCCTTGAGTTCCTGCAAGTATCCAATGAGCTTCTGCCAAAAAAACTTCTCTCTAAATGTACTTCATTTCCATTAGCACTTGCCTTAATGTCGTTATTGAAAATTATTTATAGCATGCAATTAGCCAGGCAATCTGGGTTACTTTTTTTAAAAGAAGCTTGGTTGCTCTTGATGTATCCTTCTCTCCATTTCAGTCCAAAGATGTTGCCCAGGAAGTATTTGTGGGTGGGTGGATGAGGCCTCTGATAGGCCAGGTGGGAAAGGCAGGACCGCCCCCCGCCCCCCGGTGGACAAACCAGGCATAGTTCTGTACATGCATTGTGCGCGTGGATTTGTCCATCTGGGCACTGCATAGAAGCCCACTTGTAGGCAAAAAACTCCGCCCTGAACAGCAGAGCCGTGCCCTCCTGAATCCCACCCAGTGGCCTCCATCACCTGGCTCTGCACCTGCTCCTTTGTTAGGCTCCCAAGTTGACTTTTTAAAATCTTCTTCCCTGCAGATACCTGGAGAGAAAAGCGTTTCTGGAGCGGGTGGACCACAGGCAGTTTGAGATCGAGCGGGACATCCGGTTGAGCACCATGAAACCCTGAGGCTGCTGCGGATCCTCTTCCGACGAACGCCTCTCATTTGGCTATCCCCTGAAGAGAGTGTCTCGACAAACGTATATGGCTTTTCTTTTTTCACCACACTAGTAAGTAGGTGAACTGAGGACACTCTGGCAGACTTTTTTTAAAAAAATACTACCAGGGTGCTGCCACGTGCCGCAGGCACCAGCTGCTGCTGGGTACTCAATGGGGTGCTTGCCCAGGAAAGGGACTGCAGTGGGTATTTTCCAGGTTTTTATCTCCCCAGCACTGAAGAGGAGAGAAGAGGCAGGTTTTGTGCCACGGTCTGGTCTCCTGATGGCCGCCAATTCCATGGGGTGTCAGGGCCAGAGGGCCCAGCGGCTGAAGGTTTGTATAGCTTCCTCGTGCAGCTGGAAGGCCGTCTGCTTGAGAACGCTCGGCGGTTGTGCGGTTGCGGGAGGAGTCACCTACCAACCAGCTTCCCGAAGAGGCTTGCTGTTCTTGCTGTGGAGTCTCTGTGTTTTTGTATTTAAAAAAAACCTTTTCCAGGGTAGTTTTCCTTCAGCTAACTTTCCTTCGTGCTCGGCAGCCACTGCAAGGGAGCAAGAGAGGTGGTGTGCATGTGAGCAAGGCCGGAGCCTCCCGGTTCCTTTTGAATAAAGCATTAAAACCTTTCATCTGTGAGTGCTTCGGTCGTCCTTCAGTCATTGACAGCCCTAGATCAGCCCTGTCCAAGCCAAGAAAATGGGTTATTATTTATTATAATGGTATAATCCTTGGGGTAGAGCCTGCTGTTTAGCTGTTCCGCCTCAGGCTCTGAAACTTCTTAGACTGCCTCTGAATTGATTCGCAGCTTCCGTTCCTCTCCCGGGTTTGCTAACTGTCTGCCTTAGAGGGACCAGCAACCAGGAGGCGGGAGAAGAGGGTAGAGGAGGACGACCACATTGAATGGTGCAGAAGGAGTGTACGTTGTCTGATCCTTCTGGGCTGGAAGTCGAGGACTGGGGGTGACCTTGGCAGGTTTCTCCACAGGGGCCATTCCTACCAAGTAAGCATCGGGTGACTCTGCTGCTCCCCTTGGGCAAGGCCCTGGAGGGTGACAGCAATGTCTGAATGCAGTCCCTGGCTGAGATCGCTCATCCGTGAGGCACACGTCGCTGCCCATATATGCTCTCTCATTTCCACTGGCACCGAATCCAGTTAGGGATATCGCTGCAGTGTGAACGGGTCGTCCCAAGGGGAGGCGGTGTCACCAGTTCCGTGGGGGGGGGGCGGTCTTAGGTTTCTGGGAAATGTCTTCGATCAAGCTTTGTTCTTTACGCAGGAGGCAGCTGTGGCCCCCCCAGTGCTTTCCCCCACTTATGTCTTGTAAGCCAGCTGCACTCCATGCTCAGAGATTAGAGGTCTGGGTCAGCTCTTCCGTTGTTTACTGTAATCAGTTCTGTGTGGAGGTACCCTTGAAGACTGTTTGAAGCTGTGTCCAGCAGTGTACTGGGAGCCTGTTTTTGTTTGCCAGCCTTCGCTTCCTCTTGGCTTCCGGGCCTCCTTTGTGACCCTCGTTCATCCAGACTCAGCACTGCTGCAGGGCCACTTTCTCCAGCACAGGCCTCCCTGCACCCTAAGGGCATCTGACGAGAGCCCTGGCCTGGACAGCCCAGGCAAGCCCGATCTCATCAGACCTCAGGAGCTAAGCAGGGCCGACCCTGGCAAGTATCTGGATGGGAGACCTCCAGGGAATACCAGTGCTGGGAGGCAGAGGCAGGCTGTCAAGCCACCCCTCTGAAAGGTCTAAACCCCACTAGGGGTTGCCAGAAGTCACCATGGCATCCAGGCATTGCAAACACACACACACACACACAACCCACACAAAGAAAGAACAGCTGATGAACTTTGGTTTGGATGCAGTAAATCACTGATGGTCCATGGTGGTATCCTACTTCTTGAACTCCTCCCTGCATATCCAGCAGGTTTCTGCTTTTTTTTTTTACTTTACTGGGGTGGTTCTGTTTTTCTCAGCTTCCAGTGGATAATTTCCACTGACCCACCCCCACCTGAATATCATGATTGATTGCCTCTTTATTGATGATTTATTTAACTGTTACATATGGCCTTTATCTCTTCAGATCCATCCATGTGCCTTGTGTTCACTTCTGTGGAAAATCATCTAAGGAAGCTTATAAATAGATCTCTCAAGTTCTCCTCTCTGCAGCAGCCTCCTTGGCTGGCTGGTGAACCTCCCTTGCCAAGAGTTCGTTGGCCTGCTGCAGGGGCCGCCACGTCTTCTCTGAGTTGGCTCGAGCACTTGTGCTTTCTACAGCCAATGTGGCAGAGCCCCAGCAGTCCCCTGCAAGAGGCGGTATAGTGGTTAAGTGTGCGGACTCTAATCTGGGAGAACCGAATTTGATTCCGCACTCCTCCACTTGCAGCTGCTGGATGACCTTGGTCAAGCCATAGTTCTGATAACAGTTCTTGAAAAAGAGCAGTTTCTGTCAGAGCTCTCTCAGCCCCACCCACCTCACAGGGTGTCTGTTGTGGGGAGGGGAAGGGAAAGGAGTTTGTAAACTGCTCTGAGACTCCGAGTGAAGGGCAGGGTATAAATCCAATCTCTTTTTCGTCTTCTTGCTGTGATGTTGGGAGAAGCCAAAATAGTATGAGAATACCTGCTTTTGGTTTGAATTGTTTGGACTGGGTCTCCTCAAAAGCCCAGCCAGTGAATTTTCCACAGGTGCTAGAAGCGATTCCAATCGGGTCTGGCTTTTTAGTGAGCAACTGAAGCCAGAATGAGGTTGTTTTAATTTATTTTTATGTGCAGAAATGGGGGGCCCCCTCCATGCAAGCTGGGGTAATGTAGCGGTTAAGATAATGAATTGTGAATCCAGAAGGTCACCAGTTCAAACCTCAACTCCGTCACTCACTCCGAAGGGGGCAATGAGTAGCCACTCTCTCCACCAGTGTTCCCTCCAAGCTGAGTTAGTGTGAGCTAGCTCACAGTTTTTTAGCCTCCGGCTCATGCATTTTTGTCTTAGTTCAGGAAGGACGGCTCCAGAGCAAACTAATTTATGCAGTAGCCAAATCACCTGCTCACAACTTTAATGCCAGTGGCTCACAGAGTAGAATTTTTGCTCACAAGACTCCACAGCTTAGAGGGAGCATTGCTCTCAATCCCCCAATCCCGTATCTGCGATACGAGGATAATAATACTATCCTACCTTAAAGGAGCATTTTGAGGATCACTGCGATAATATTTGTGAAGGGCTTTAAACAAAGAGAACGCCAGAGACATACTCTGTTGCTCTATCTTACTGGGGGTGCTGGATTGTCATTGCTGCTGGGAAGACTAGGCACTGGGAAGGGTTAGAAAATATTATATACCCTCCCCCCCTTTTTTAATGCAAGGGGAGGTGCTATGGAGCATGCTTTTTTAAAAACACCCCACTGACCAATTTTCCCTTCTCCAGCATGGGAAGATTGCTTTGTTCGCCAGGGTGCGAGGGAACCTTCTCCCCCATCGTAAACCAGCACAAAGTAGTGATCTAGTTCAACGAAACCTTTGTCCCGGCTGTGCTGTTGCCATTATGTGCCAAGGAGCTTTTTATATTCAGGAATATTAAAAAATATACCCCCGCAGGCATGCAGTCCAAAGCAGTGGAGTCTAGGGTGCTATTTCTTCATTGTGGTTGATGTTTAGAACGGGAAGGTCATTTCCGCGTATGCCACTGCTTGACAAACATACAACCCTCTCTTGGCTTCATAACAAGCCTATGCCACTGCCCCATGCTACTTCCACGATGGGTTAGTGGAAGGTCAGGGACCTCTGGTAACTAAGGCAGGCAATACCGTGGAGTTTATTCTTATATCTGAATCTGAACTTGGCCTGCAGAGTGTGGCTCAAACAACCTGCACAATAGTGGCCAGGTACGAGTGGGAGACATTTGTGCAACCCTGGGTGGTTTCCTGGGTTTTGCAGAAAAATGACCCACATATCCACCAAGATCTTGGGGATTTTTGCAGGATTACCGATGGCATTGTAGGGCTGCCTAGCCCCCTTGTCAGTGAGGCCGGGAGATGGAGGGGCCCAGAGAAAGGAGGAGAAAGTGAGTGGGAGAGAAACGGGGGGGGGGGGGGCAGTGAAAAGCAGATGGGCGTCTCCTCCATCATGAGACTTGTAGGTCCCCTCCTGTACTGTCCTAGATCTGGCTGCTCAAACCTCACCTTTTTCTTGCTTAAAATCAGCATCAATGGCTATTGGATTCACTCTGTTGACTACAGCTGAGCCTAGGTCTTTGCCAGTTGCCTTTCATCCTCATTGGTAGAAACAATGGTAGCCGTTTCACCTTGAAAGACAAAGCTATTTTCTGTGACTGGATACAGTGCTGGGAGGGGGGGAGGAATCTTTAGTTTTCTTTTGAATGAAGGGGCAGCTGGCCCACACCACGAGCAGTTGTGGTCCTGAATCCTGTAAGACTCTTGCCCGTTGCATCGGGGATGTATTTTAATCGGAGGTTCGAGCTGTCGTTGAGTAATCAGACTAGTTAATCAGTTCAAGCTTTAGGGCTTCTCTAAGCTCGCTCCAAAAATGTGGGAATCTTGGAACTGATTTGACCTGCTGGCAGTGCACATCACAGGCCTCGGCTGCTTTCCCAGGAGGCAAGTCGTTTTCCAGCATCCCAAACCGTTATGCTCACAGAGGCGAGGTCTCTTGGTGTGTGTACACACCCTCAACTGAAGTCTGGGAAGGGACTGTGGAGAAAGCCAAGAGACCTTTTCCAGTTGATATTAATAGGCCAGGGTCAGGCTTGAATGCATCTGCTCCGGGATTTTGGAGCACCCCATTAACAGGCAAGTAGGGTGGCTCAAGTGGTTAAGACGCTGAACTGCAGGCTGTGGAAGGTCAGTAGTTCAGCAGTTCAAGACCCGGGTGCCGCATGATGGAGTGAGCTCCTGTCTCTAGTTCCAGCTCCTGCCAACCTAGCAGTTCGAAAGCAAGACATTGCAAGTAGATAAATAGGGACCACTTCGGTGGGAAGGTAACAGCATTCCGTGCGCCTTGGTGTTTAGTCACGCCGGCCACATGACCACGGAAACGTCTTCGGACAGCACTGGCTCTTCGGCTTTGAAACGGAGATGAGCACCGCAACCCTAGAGTCGGATTCGACTGGCTTTCGAGCAAGGGAACCTTTACCTTTACCTAGGGTGTGCAAGCAAAGCACCCCCAGTTTTACTGCATGCAGTCAGGGAGGCTCAGGTACCCTACCCAGCAATCGCTAAATGTGGCCCACATTCCAGTTCAATGGAAATTGCACTGTGCCACATTAATTGCATTTATTTACTTTATAACCAGTCTTTATGTACAGTCAGTCAGGTTACCTGGTTTTCTGACCTATTTGCGGAGAATGCCAATGCGGACACAGTTCTTCATTAGGAGGGATGCTGATGCAGCAGGATCATTTCATGGCTCAACGCATCTTGGAAGGATCACTCGAAAGGTCTTAATTAAAGGTCTGATTACCTGATACTAGGTAAGCCTTGGCTCTTGGACACTCTTTTCCTCAGTAAGTGTGATGAGATGATGCTTAGTGCCACTCAACTCTACATTTTGTTGTGGAAATGGCTAGAAAATCTGTTTCTTGTGCTAAGTAA